CAGCTTCTACCCTGAGGCTGTTAGACTCATGAATCTCTAACCAGAAAAATCACTATAATGCCACTTTAATTGGTGATATGTGACTTTATCCATGCTACTGATTATCCATGCTGCTGATTATCCATGCAGCTGATTATCCATGCTGCTGATTATCCATGCTGCTGATTATCCATGCTGCTGATTATCCATGCAGCTGATTATCCATGCTGCTGATTATCCATGCTGCTGATCTCTTTCCTTTAAGCTGCTGTATTCATACCCATCTGCTCACAACAGGCTCATGTTCAGGCTGCTGTTTAATATACTGTATTTTACATTATAAGTGTTTAGTGTATATATTGTATCCATATTTACTGGTTCTTTTAATACATTGTTTTTGAGTGTAACTGGGATCTTGTGTACACAATTTCATTCCACCTCATGTCAACATGTGATATGAATGACAAAGAATCTTGAACTTTGAAAAGTTTGGGCTCTTTGAAATTGTTTGAATATCCAGGCTTTTAGCTACTTCTTTGAAGGTCTTAGCTTTTAGCTACTGTTTGAGCTCTTTACTTGAGCTAATGTGTTAAAGGTCGCAGCTTTTAGCAATTGTGTTTCCTTTTTTTTAACTCTTGTTCTAAATGTTTAAACTGTAAGAATTCAGTTTAAGCTTTTTCAACAAGTTTCAGCACTCAGTATTTTTCTAGTTTGATCCAGTTGTTTTTTATTTTTTACTTTTGTCGTGTTTGTAACAGCATTAAAGATATTTGTAATACATTCTCAAACTGTAATATTGTTCCTGTAGTTGACAGTTTTTCTCTGCAGGCTGATCATGGTTTGTAATCTTTGTTTTTCCAACACACTTAAAGGCCCAGCTTAATAATCTGGGAGGTTTGGAGTGTTGTGCTGTGATAGATTAACTGTGAAATCACATTACTACATGTTTGATACTCATAATGTCACACTTCTTTAAGTTCAGATTTATAAAATTTCACTGTGAACTTGAGTCTTTTTTTTTAATCCAAGCTCAAAACCTGTTCTGTCATTGCTGCTAATGTACTGTACTTGTAAAGAGAAATGTTATTTTTAGAACATGGAAAAACATCTGACAATGCAAGTGTTTTCCATACTTTGCATATTGTTTGTTTGTAATTGTTTTTGTTGTTGTACTTATCTAGACCTGGAAGGTACTAAAAATAGATTCCCTACTTTCTAAGACTGTACTGAGGACTATTCAACTAAACTGCTCAGGGGCCGGACATCCAGCAATTAAAGACATTATGTAAATCAAGTTTTACAATGAACTGTTACCTTTTTAAATGTGTGTATTTTGTTGCATTGAATCATAAATGCAATAAACAGAACCCCCAAATGTTTTTGTTTTTTTTAATGAACTCATTAGTGGGCCGGACTGAAGTCAGCTGCGGGCTGAAAGTGGCCCATGGGCCACCAGTTGAATGGCTCTGCTGTGCAGGAACTTTAAAATCAGACATGTTCCTGGTGACAACTGTGCTGCATAATTCCTGCTGATGAGGACATTCATTCATGTTATTATATGCAAGGTGTTTTTTTAATATCAGAGTTTTTTTCTTCTCAGGCCAGAAAAAAAAGTCTAATAGGAATTCTTTTGCCTCCAGTTCCTACATGTGTCCAGTTTCACTACTGTTTGTCTGTCTAAACAAATGTCACTTGTAAATGAGTCTTCGAGGCTCAATGTCACTTATCTGTCTAAATAAAGGTTGAATGAATGAATGAACATGTTAGTTGCATTTGTTCCCAAACAATATTAGCATGACTGCTGAAGACCTTGTTTGCATGCAGTTACAAAGTTCAGTTAGAATCATTTTCCACAGAATAATTTTTTTGGGTCAAGTTTTCTTTTGATTTCATACTTTGTATTTGCTGACGTCGTCCTCTATCTTCACCTCCACATGTGCCGTCGCTGACTGCACGCTGCTCGCCTCACTGAGTGCCGCCAGCTCCGGCCAGTAGCTCTGACAATCCTTCTGGAAACCAGGAAGGTCGATCAGCTGTTCAAAGCCTCGAGGAGCCGCCTGGTGCTCCGGTGAGGACTGATCACGCTCAGTCTTCACTGTCAGAGAGGAGGGGGAGCAGAGCTCAGCTCTCAGCCGTTTCTTCTTCATCAGAGCGCGCCAGTCCAGGTAACGACGCTTCACCTGCACAGGGAGTCCCGCAGGGAAAGCACTCAGAGTTCAGATTGATAAAAAAGGGGAAACATATTAATAATCAAAATATGTAAAAAGCTTTTAATAGACAAAAGCACCTCAGTTGCAGTACGCATCTCCCCCTCTCCTAATGCATTCACTCCCTGCGCCACTTCTTCCCATGCCTGCCTCTTCAGCTCATTAACTGCTGTGTTCTGTTCAGAGAGGGGAACAACAAGAACAAACAATTAAAGCTGTTTCATTCAAACACTTCTAACACCAATTATTACTGCCACAGACTTAGTTCTGTTGATGGGCTGTGGAAAAATATGAGCAATGCAGGCTTCTGATGAGAAAAAATAATAAAACGATCAGCAGAAGTCCTAAAATAAAACCCCTCCTCTGAAATTAATTGTTTCTCCTAAACCCTAACTAGTACAATGTATTTAGTCATCTCAGTCCTCGTTCTCTGACTTTTTTTTCTGTTTTTAAATGTTTATTTATGTTTAAATACTGCTCTCACCCACCTGGAGCAAAAGGACTCCTACGTCCGTATGCTCTTTGTGGACTTCACATCTGCCTTCAGCACTATGATCCCCAAAACCCTGATGGACAAACTACTCACACTAGGACTAAGCCCCTCCACTTGCAACTGGGTACTAGACTTCTTAACAAACAGACCACAGTCAGTGAGGATCCACAACTTATCTTTCTCCACCATAACCCTCAGCTCTGACTCCCCTCAGGGATGTGTGCTGGGCCCTCTCCTGTTTACTCTGCTCACGAATGATTGTGCAGCTACCCATCCAGGCTGTCACATTGTAAAGTTTGCAGATGATACAGCGGTGGTGGGATGCATCACGGACAGTGATGGGTCCAGCTGCAGGCACACCTTGAACACCTGGAGAGCTGGTGCAAATAGAATAACCTTCACATCAATGTGAAGAAAACAAAAGATATGATTGTGGACTTCAGAAGGAACAAAACACCTACAGCCCCCTGAACATAAGAGGATCTACGGTGGAAGTGGTCTCCAGCTACAAGTACTTGGGTGTACACATGAATGACAACCTCAGCTGGAGCAACAACACCACCAGTCTGATCAAGAAAGCTCATCAGAGACTCTACTTCCTCAGACGGCTGAGACGAGCTGGTCTGGGAAGCTCAGTCCTCACCTCCTTCTACAGGTGTGCAGTGGAGAGCATCCTGTGCTCCAGCAGCAACGTGTGGCATGGAGGCTGCACAGCTGCAGAAAGAAAAGCTTTGCAGAGAGTGGTGAAGGCTGCACAGAAGACAGTTTGAGTCAGTCTCACCACCATCACAGACATCTACACCTCTAGATGCAGAAAGAGGGCCACCTGCATCATGAAGGACCCCACTCACCCAGCACACACACTTTTTGACCCGCTTCCCTCAGGAAGGAGATTGAGAAGCATTAAGTGTAGAACCACTAGACTGAGGAACAGCTTCTACCCTGAGGCTGTTAGACTCATGAATCTCTAACCAGAATAATCACTGTGAAAAATCACATCATGTTGCTGCTGATCTGTTTCATGTTGCTGCTGATCTGTTTCATGTTGCTGTGTTCATTCATGCTCATCTGTTCACACAGACTCATGTTTGTGCTGCTGTTCGACATAATGTTTTCATGATTAGTCGTTAGTGTATTTTAGTTGATGTATTTCTTAGTTCATATCTTAGATCTTATTACTGTTTTTCTTTTCATTTTTATCGTTGGATGTAACTGGGACCTTGTGTACATAATCTCGTTCCACCACATGTACCACATGAGATGTGAATAGCACATAAATCTCTCTGACTGAAATAAAATGAACCAGTTTTATCTGATGAGAGTATTTCAATAAAATGGTTTTATTTCATGTTGTGAATATTAGAGATATTTTAAAGTAAATGTCGTGAAGGAATGCATATCTCCCCAACATTTCATGCCAGCGTTTTAACTTTAATGACTGTGTGACCTCAGGCATCATGTGAGATGAGTTAGCACACAAAATATGTACTGAAGATGCTGAGCTACCTCCATACTTAACTTTAGCTCAATATCTGTAGATGTGAGGAGTTTATAGTCTTTTTTTAGTTGGCTTATGTCATTTCGCTGTGATGGCCATCTTGAATTTGATTGACCAAGTTATTTAATGCGAACAGCTAAGCTAAAACAGACAAATCTGAAGCTTTATAAAGGGAAAATGTGCAGCTAAATGACTGAGAACATAATTTATTGTCCCTCTCAGGCCCTCAGGCACAGTGATTGCATCACTGAAGTTTTCTGATGCTGATTTACTGATTTGGTCTCCAACAAAAATAAGCTTATGTCGTTTTTCAGAAAAAAAGATTAAATCTACACCTGATGTCTGGAGAACAACACATCTCTCCTCTTGTGGATCTCCTTGATGAGAATCTGTGTTTCCCTCACGCTGTAGTTGCTCTTCCTCTTCCTCCTCGAATGCTTTAGCTGCAGGAAATCCAGCTTGGCACTGCGGCAGTGGGACAAAACCCCACAGAAATGCAAATAAAAATGAAAGGAGGGAGAAAGAATGGGAGAAATCAAGAACAGAGGAAGAAAATGAGAAGTAAAAATAAAAGCAGGATTTAATCCTCAGATGTCAAACTGTGTGTGACACAGCAGTTTCCATCGGCGAGGACTTCCTCTATGACTCAAACAGTCAGAGGGAAGTTCTTCCACCTCCTGGGAGACAAAAACCAGCTGTTCCACTGGATGCTGTCTCTGTGTGGGGACATGTGAGAGATGGAGTTAAGGCAATATCAGCTGGAAAGAACTATGCTGAGTGCAGATATCACAGCAGGTAAGCTGCGAGAGAACACCGAAGAGACTGTTTTTGTCTCGTTCAGTTTCCTGCCCCGATAAGATTAGATGTGGAAACAGAGATGTAGGGGTCGTTTTGCTGAGAATGACAAGGTGTTCCTCCAATTTTCTGATCGGTGTGACTGCAGGTCATCTGACAGGACTCTGTAGTCTATCTGGAAGACAAACAGAGAGAGTAACTTTATGTAGTTTGTGTGGATTTATGCAGCTTTTGGAATTACAGTGTCCCAGTTTTACTCTACTGGCATTCAATAAGAAATTAGCTGCAACATTTCATCAGCTGGAGGTACATCTAATGACTATCTCCTGAATGTTTCACATAGCTGACTCCAAATAGGCTATGTCAAATTTTAAAACAGTATTTTGCAGAATCTGTCAGTGCTCAGAGTATGGGTTGGGGATCCATCTCAGCTTCTACCACACTAGCTTTCAGGAGAATATCTGTAAAATTATATTACTGTTGGCTGACACCAGAGAAACTCTATTTTTTGTGTGTCTGCAGAAAAATAACAGATATTGTTCTCCATTGCCTATGTTTTAATCAATAAATGCATAGGTTATAACTAAATAACACAATATACAAATTTCATGCCAGGATACATTTGTAATAAGTAAATTTCGCACAATCAGGCAAGATATATTCTGAGTGTATAGTTTATAGAATGTCTTGCAGTGTCTCCTAAATATTTTTTGTGGAAATAACATTTTGTTCGAGGGATATCAGAGTTGATTGTAGTCTGATTAAAGGAGCACTACATAATTTCATCATCACAATCAGCAATTTACTAATATTTCATTGCCACATCTTTAAAACCCTCATCTGAGAATATAGTAAAACCACTCACCTTACGCACACAAACCGCAATCATAACGTCACTGAAATTACAATTCCTACGCTGCTTTCAATGTTAGTCGGACAGTAGATACACTGAGGTGCAAACTCTAAACTCTTTTAATGGTTTAATCAAACGTTTCTTTTATACTATAAACTGAACCGTCTTTATTATAATTTTAGGTTGTTTTCATGCTGTATAATTGATTCCCTGCTCAATGTACGAATTCAGTTGAAAGATTTTTTTAGACAAATTTAGTGAAATTTAACCGCATTCTGAATGGATTCTGCTTTTTCCGGAGAACACTTGGAGGCATCGCAAGCAGCCTACCGTTTGCGCTGCTCTGATTGGTCAGTTCTGCACCGCGCCCACTGATGACGACATTATCGGATTGTTCCGGGCGGTGCGTCGCTCTCAGAGCCAAAATACAAACAGAAAGCAGGTTTGTGTTGGATCCTGTGTACTTTCTTTAAAAGGGGTTTGCTTCGGCACGTCTATGGTGGTGCTCTGTCACGACCTGACATCTGAGGTAAAACTTTTTTCAGGTCTGTCTGACAAAACTTTTGTTTGCACCGGGTGCTAACATTAGCTACTTAAAAACTTGAGAAAGAGTAGCAGCTACTCCAGATGAGATGACGCGGAGTGACTGAGGACATGGGCTCTGTCCGCTGGGCTTTCCGATGTGGTTCGTGGACTCCGAGCAGGTCCGAGTGGCTCCTCGCTGCTCGCTGCGTCCAGCCGGAAGAGAAAGAAAGAATCGGACAGTTCGTTTTCGCCAAGGATGCTAAGTCAGCCATGGTGAGTCCAGGCTGTTATTGTTGATTCCTTTTCGTCTGTGTAATCAATGATATTAGAGCTGCATGTTTGCCTCTGCGTGACCCAACAGGCTGGACGTTTGCTGCTCAGGAAGCTGGTGTGTGAGAGGATGGGGATCCCCTGGTCTGAGATCAGATTAGAGAGATCTCCCCGAGGGAAACCCTTCCTGGCTGCTCCAGATAAGGTGAACTCCCATCCGTTGTTTATTTATTTGTTGCCTATGTGTTTTCTCCAGTAACAATGCTATTGCACTGTGACATCTAATAAAAACACACAGAAGAAGACATGTGGGATTCATCAATATTTACTCCAAATTCATGACGTGCATTTATTCTGGATGTGCCCAATTCTACTCAAACCCTCAGACCTAAAGGCTCGTGCAGGTTGGAGCATGGAGGGGCACTAGTCTGAGCTTTTATTTGAGTTAAGACATCATATTCACTAATGGAAATAAAATATTGTTGCTCCCATTTGATCTCAGATTATACCTACTTTTGCCCACCAGTTCAACCTGTAAACATCTATTGGGAAACATTGATCTACACTTCTTCTTGTTTTAATGATTAAAAATAATACAGGTCAGTTCAGATTTGAATCGGTCCTGGAGTTTCAATCTCTCCCACCAAGGGGACTACGCTGTGCTCGCTGCAGAGCAGGGGGTGCAGGTTGGAGTGGATGTGATGAAGATCACCATGCCCGGTAAGTTCATACCTGAAGCTAAATATGAACAGAGCACACAAATAATTACAGCCTTAAATCTTTAAGAACACCATGGACTTTGTGGACAAGGTGAGGGATGTCATCATGGAGACTGATGAAACAATGGTCTCTTTTGATGTCACATCACTCTTTACATGCATTCCTGTTGATGATGCAGTAGAGGTGGTCAGTTTAAGATTAAAATCAGACACCACGCTGAGCAGCAGGACCATGCTTTCCACAGAACAACTGTGTCAACTCTTGAAACTGTGCCTGCAGTCAACCTACTTCACATATGGGGAGCAATATTATAGGCAGAAACATGGGTGTGCTATGGGGTCTCCAGTTTCTCCTATTGTTGCCAACCAGTACATGGAGGAGGTAGAAAAGAGAGCCTTGACGTCCTTTTCAGGGACACCACCAAGTCATTGGTTCAGGTATGTTGACGACACCTGGGTTAAAATTAATCATTCCATATGTTATGGAAGTTTCAGAGAAACTGAGACATTTATTTTCTAAACACAACGTCCCAGTGGCTTTTAAACCCCAGAATGCATTAAATACTGGTTCATCCCAAAGATCCAGTCCCCCGGCACAAACAGAATAATATTGTGTATGCTGTTCAGTGTCAGGAGGTTGATCAGTCTTACATTGGGAAAGCTAAACAGCCACTAGCCAAAAGGATGGACCAGCACAGAAGAGCAACGTCATCAGGCCAGGACTCTGCGGTCTACACTCATCTAAAGGAGGCCATCTTTGTGAAAAGAAACCGTCCATCATTAAACAGGGGTGGAGGCCTCCGTGTCCATTTGTCTCCTTCTTATCATTCCGTGATTGTATCTCTCAGCCTTCTGTGAATAACAAGCGGCCATCAGACCACTAACGATTGGTCCTCTTTTACATGTGAACAACTAGCTGCTTTTTGAGCTGATTTCTTGCCTTTAAGCTGCTGTATTCATACCCATCTGCTCACAACAGGCTCATGTTCAGACTGCTGTTTAATACACCGCATTATTTTACATTATTAGTGTTTAGTGTACAAAGTAATTCTTAGATCCTTATATGCTGTTTCTTTTAAAACTTTATATTTTTGCTATTTTTGGTGTAACTGGGACTTTGAGTACATAATTTCGTTCCACCTCATGTACCACATGTGATGCGAATAACGTTAAAGAACCTTGAATCTTGAACCATGAACTAGTTTTGACTGTCAGCAACAAACTGGTTGATCCACGATGAGGAGGTGCTGCTTGTAAGACTGAGTTTATTACGGCGCCTCAGACTGAAGAAGTCTTTTGGATAAAAGACAAAATATTTCAACAAGAACAATCCATCCAGAGGACCTGACTCAACCTTGTTAGATTTATTTACATGGACTACTGATCATGCGTCAGGAACCTTAAATCTTTAAATAATCTTTGGATTTGACTAATATCTGATTATTAGTTTTAATCTTTGTTTACATGAAAATACAAGAATATCTGTCAGGTGTAAATTTCAGTTCTCTCGCTTCAAATAAAGTTAATCCAGCTAACAGCTGCATGCATTTATCCTGACTTGTTTTTGTAGTTTTAGTTGACGTGCTGTTGTAGTTTTCCACTTTAACCACAAGATGTCACTGTTGTCCAATAAATGCAAATTAAAGCAAACCAGAGCAGCTTCTGTGTGCAGATTTGGGTGTGTGTGCAGCCATTTAGAGTTGAGTTGTTGTTTATCTGTGTTTTGCATTTTTCATTAAATTTTTTTTTTTTTTATTATTATTATTATTATTATTATAATTTTTATGTCTATCTGTTCATCCTTCTGTCCTGTGTACCTATTTCTTCCTGCAGGTAGCAGCTCTGTGCCGGAGTTTTTCCGCATCATGACTCGTCAGTTTACAGCGTATGAGTGGAGCATCATCCAATCAGCCGGCTCGGAGTACCAGCAGCTCGCAGCGTTCTACCGCCACTGGGTAACCATGGCAACCTTACTGCCCTGTCATCACGTTGCAACGCTGCCGGTCTCCTACGGGCGATGTTGCATGCGTTTGTGAAAAAGCGAGGGAAGGAAACGCTTGCAGAAACATTCTCAGTGTCCTTTGAGGCAAACATGTATTTGTACATTCTCCACGTTTGAATCTAAACATTTCTTGGATCACATTTGATCCTCATCTCTTATTTTTCTCACAGTCTGTGCACCATCTCAGCGTGTCCTTGTTACAGACATCTTTAGGTTTTTTTATCAATAGTTTTTCTTCCTATTTCTTTCCTGTAGACACACACACACGCAGATGGTCACAGAAAGCAACAGCAGTGCTCAGTAAAGATGCTGTGAGATTGAGAGGGTGGCACAGAGACGTCAAGCTCTGATATCACCACCGCACTGTTGACTAATGGCAGAGCTCAACCGTTGCCATAGCAATTAGCCCTGTAATGGTGTTATTGTGGCTTATTGGTTGTCGAGCAGGGAAGGATTTGGCTGGACACACAGACACAAAGCCCCTCTTTTGTATGCACACTCTTGAACATGTGTAGACTCATCTGTTGCAGTTTAAGTTCGTCTACTTTCACACACACATACACACACACACACACACACACATACAGACAAACTAACCTGAGCTTTGACTGACGAGCTCACTTTCCTTTGTGTGCATATGTTGAGTTCCTGACTGATCAGGTGTCCTCCCTTTGCTCCAAGACTTTGAAGGAGAGCTTCATCAAGGCCATTGGCACTGGTCTGGGCTTCAACCTGCAGAGGGTGGAGTTTCACCTTCCCTCTGAAGAGCTCACACAAGGCCGGGTGCTGCGCGGAACCAAGATGCATCTCGACGAGGAGCAAGAAGAGCAGTGGATGTTTGAAGTGAGTCTGGTTCAGACAGTAGATTCTTTAACACCTACAAGTTTTCCTCATGCTTGTATAAACTCATGATGGGCCAACCATTTGTAACGCTTGACCAATAAAACACCACCTGTCCAGTTAGATCTACCACGTGGCTTGACTGGACGTCATGAGTTATCCAGCTCTGTAGCAATTGTGCCTGCTGGGCAGCTAAAGCCTTTATTCTGAAGGGCCAAACTGGAAACAACACACACTGTGGGAAGTTTTCTGGATGGAAAAGCTCCATAAAAGTTTCCAGGTTGTTGTCAAACCAAAGCAGGTGCCGTTAGTGAATCGTAAAGACTAAATTTTGCTATAAAAAAACACGACTGCTTTGGTGAAAGTGTGTAATGATTTTTGTTTGAAAGAGTTTCTACATGTTATAATTAGTAATAAATATTAATAATCAGAATAAAAGAACAGTTGGACACAATGAGAGTTTTTCAGAAGTTTTACCCCTAAATTGTGTCACAGTTTAATAGATAAAAGGAATTATTTTTACATGGGTAAAATAAACTATGTGACTTTTATCAGCCGCACTGATTATTGTTTTTGGGGGCCGACCACTACACCTCATCCATCAACGCTACTTGTTTCTTTCTGCTTCTAAAAAACAACATATTTTGAACAACAACCCATTCTGACTTGAACTCGTTTCCTTCCTGATGAATCTCAACCACGTTGTGTTTTGATGCTGGGTCTGTCTGTGGAGTTTGACCTCTGACCTCTGTCTTCACCACCCTCCCCTTGGCAGCAGAGTTTGACTCTTTCTCACCCACTCTTCAACATTTTACACACAACTGGTTCTGTTTTACTTCCTGACTGTGTTTCAGCCTACAAATCAAAATTATAATTAGTACACTAGATTTTAACAGTTTTAAAACCTCATAAAGACGAGATTATTCTTTTACATCCTAATATATATAACAATGAGTTTTCCTTCCTGCACTGTACCTTCCTCTGCTCTCCTCTTGTCTTCTTGAGGTTGTGGGTTCATGTTTCAGTGTTTGTGTTTCCAAGGGGAACATGACATTGACAATAACGTGTTGTTTTTAAATCATATTCATCCACGACACAGTTTAAACTATTTACAAATTACTGCATTCTGTTTCCATTTACAATAAAACAAGACTAAATACTTCTGTCCGGTGCAAAGGATGTAACTGAGTATTGGAAAATCGACACCAAAATCTACACATCTACACCTCCAGATGCAGGAAGAGGGCCACCTGCATCATGAAGGACCCCACTCATCCAGCGCACACACTTTTTGCCCCACTTCCCTCAGGAAGGAGGTTGAGGAGCATTAAGTTTAGAACCACTAGACTGAGGAACAGCTTCTACCCTGAAGCTGTTGGACTCATGAATCCCTAATTAGAAAATATCACTGTAATGACACTTTAATTGGTGATATGTGGCTTATCTGTGCTGCTGATTATCCATGCTGCTGATCTCATGTTCGGGCTGCTGTTGTTACACCGTATAGTTTTACATTATTAGTGACTAGCGTGTATCTTAGATCTTTTAGCGTACCATTTGGCGTTTATTTAGTTTATATTTTAGATCCTTATTTACTGTTTCTTTTTACACTTTATATTTAGCTATTTTTGCGTGAAACTGCAACCCTGTATACATAATTTTGTTCCACCTCATGTACCACATGTGATGCGAATGACAATAAAGGTAATTTGAACTTAACTTGAACCTGAAAATGAACTGGCATTGATTTAGTGCCGTTTCCTGAGTTAAACTTACGGGCAGTTTCACAAGTGTGTGTGTTCTGATGTACGTCTGTGTGTAACGGCAGGAGAGCCTACTGGATGCTGACCATCATGTTGCTGTTGCACTTGGACCAGCAGAAAGAGCTGTAAGGACAAAACTTATTTTGTTTTCTCATAATTAGTTGATTTATTTTTTTTTACAAAAGTCTAGCAGTCTTTGAAGGAATTCATATCCCACCACCACCACCACATTTCATACTGGGTTTTTAAGCCAAGATCATCTCATAATGAGAGATATCAGCTGAGCTGTAGCCGTCTTGGTCCGACCTTGTAAATGACATTTTGCATGATCTCATAAGACGTGTTCTGAAAGGTTTTCCTTCACGTTACATGATTACAAAATTGTCATTTGACAATTTAAAAATCGTCCGACTTTAGAAGGTTTTAGTGTTTCATAAAAGCTTAAAACACATAAGGAGGTCCAACAAAGTTCAGTCAGGTCATCTGGACGGTTTATTTTTTGTTGAGACATTTTGTCCTTCATCCAAAGGACTTAATCAGTCGGAGGAGCCACAAACAACCTCAGTCCCACAAGCAGCACAGTCACATAGTGGACCAACCAGTTTGATGTGATAAGATGATTTCTGGGGCCAGCCCTCTCCCCCGTCAACTGAGGCAGCCATGGCCAAAGTGGTTCATAACATCAAAGTTCATTCTCAATAATCCAGGTAGAAAATCTAACAAGATTCAGTCAGGTCCTTTGTACAGTTCTTTGGATGAAGGACAAAATGTCTCAACAAAAAAGTAAACCGTCCAGATGACCTGACTGAACATTGTCGGATTTTTTTACCTGGATTATTGAGCATGAACTTTGACACGTTAAGTCGAGGGTTCAATCAACTTTTAAAGTGTTTTAAGTAAGTCCTGATGGTTTTCCTGGTGGCGTGTCTTCCTCGACTTAATGTATTGCATATTGTCACAAGTTTTTAAAAAATAAAAAAAAAAGTTTTTTTTTTTTTATTCCTGTAAGAAAAACATCTAAAAAAAATCCAACCACAATTAGAGAAATGTTGCACAGCAGGTAGCCATAGTTTACTTGTTTTTTATACATAATTCATAAACTGCATTAAAGATGATATGGTTTTTGCATTTAATCAAGTTTTTTCATATCAAACAAAACGTCACCACTTTTAGCTGAAAGTCATTGATGGTGTTTCACGTGTCATTTTAGAAAAACAGCCAGGTTTCACAACAAATTATTGACAGACATGAAGTTTCTGTTTCAAGCAGCTTCCATTTGTCTAATATCTGCTTTTCAAAGAATAGATATACTATATATATATATATATATATATATATATATATACACATCAGAGAGTCAGAGTTTCTTTATTGTCATTCGCACCTCATGTGGTACATGTGGTGGAGCGAAATTATGTACACAAGGTCCCAGTTACATCCAACAATAAAATGTATAAGAAAAACAGTAATA